AACACACTCACATTAAACTGTACAACACAGTTCTTGTAGGCAGAATCATTAGCTCCATAACAGTTATGAAAATAGTTGATAATTATGAAAGAAGCAACCTAATATAATTTTCATATAACTAAAAGCCCATCAAGATAAGGAATAGTTGATTCTTGCCAAAGGAGTGCTAGTGATCAAGGCTAGATAGACTGTGCAGTTATTTGTTTGTCTAACAGACCCTACCCAGATTGGGAAAATGACACACATACAAAAAAAAGGGGGTTTTCATAACCACAATGATTGGCGAAGGTTACAGTGAACTGTGGACAACAAAGAAAACAGAAAAAGCAAATAAGAATGTAATGAAACTCTTGTTAACCTCAAAGCTTTGCAAATCCTTTAGCTTGTCTGTCCCCAGCTGCAAAAAAGGTGTGATTTTTGACGATTCACTGAGGCAAATTTTGGTAGTCTGCATTTGGAGAGCTCAATTTTTGCACCAAACAAGTTAAATCTCAATGCATTATCTCATATGTAAGCATCATTAAAAGCAAAGTTATCACAGTTACCTCATGCATATGAATAATAAAGGGATAAATACCTATGAATATGTAAAACTACATATAACATAATTCTTTTTTCACACCAAAAAAATGTATATAGATGTATTTGTCAATAACTAAACATGTAGATAGTAAAAAGACAAACATGGAATAGTATGTTGTGTAGAGAGGGAATGCAGTTAAAGGAAAAGATCTACGATTTGACTGGATGGAATTGTGTCAGTGCCATATAGTGTCAGAATTCCTACTCAACACATTCACAAGAAGATGGAGTTAGGAAAGCTCAACTGTGTGATTAGCAAAGACAGGTCCTGAAGGGAAGTGAGGGTGTGGATCTTAGAACAAATAAACAAACTGAATAAACAAACTAAAATAAAAAATACTAGATCATAGGTTGAGCAAGAGGTCTCTGAGCCAAGCAAATTTGCTTTCAGAACATGAATGTAGGGATGGATATGCATTAGGAATACAGGCAAAATGATGGCCTATTTCCAAAAGGATTATTAAAAGAAATTACCAAAGATGGATCACATAATATGCCTAACAGAAAACAAACTTGATTCCTCTATAGAAAGTGCTTTATTAGGGTTATAAGACGTTATAATTTAGAGAAAAGGGAGGGCAAATAAAATTTGAGGGCCAGTGGTAATACACACAGTATATATCCGCACTTACAAGGGGTCTGATTTTGTTTGTCCTTAGAATGAATTTTCATTTTTCTTTACAATGAAACTCAACAGTTCATCTGACCATGAATATACCTACACTCATTCCCTTTCCTCTTTTTCTTCCCTTTCATCTCTTATTCTCACTTCTCATCCATTGTGCTAACTCACTCAGTCATTCACTCCGCTCAGTCATTTTTCAGATATAAGAAAAGGTAATCTTTTTATATGCAAGTTATTTTCTTTATAGGTGTTTTCACATCTCCAGAAGCAAGCAGAAACTGCCGAGGAGGATTCAAAGACTTTCAATCAGATCATGTCTGTCCTCTCCTTTGAAAAGATTACTTTCAATGGTAAGAAGTGCCTAAGGAGGAAGAATAGAAAGGGAGAGACAGAGCCACAGACAATGATAGTGACTGAGACAGACAGACAGACAGAGCATGAGAGAGAGAGAGAGAGAGAGAGAGAGAGAGAGAGAGAGAGAGAGAGAGAGAGAGAGAGAGAGAGAGAGAGAGAGAGAGAGAGAGAGAGAGAGAGAGAGAGAGTGTGTGTGTGTGTGTGTGTGTGTGTGTGTGTGTGTGTGTGTGTGTGTGTGTGTGTGTGTGTGTGTGTGTGTGTGTGTGTGTGTGTGTGTGTGTGTGTGTGTGTGTGTGTGTGCATGGCTGTCTGTATGAATGTATGTGTGCATCTTTTTAAAGAGGAAGTGGCTGCCAATGTGTGGACATGTGCTTGTATATGATTTTTGTGTGAGTACTTATATAGGCATGTGAATCTGTCTACACACAGGTCAAGCTGACAGCCTGTGCTTCAACAAGTGCATATTGACACTATAAATAACTATCTGATGGTAGGTATCTCTATTGCCAAAGTTATAAGTATTAGATATAGCTACACTTGTGTCTCATACTTCTATCAAAATTGGTATCATCTTTTTTTTTATTATGATTTAGATAGATATATACTACCTTATAATATTACTTCATCTTCCTATTTGAAATTGCCATACAACTCCCAATGAATCAGTATTATAAAAGTAACATGATGCAGAGAATGTATGTATATAGATGTTCACTGTGGTTTGTTATATTTATTTTGTTTAAATGGAGATAATTGCTCTAGTGCCCGGTCAGTATGTCCACCTGACTTCATGATAATATTGACGATAATAATAATAAGAAGAATAGTATCATTAATGCTTATAAGAGTAATTGAAAGTCTGTATGTGAAGTCATTTAGATGATATTTGCCTCTGAAGTTCCACTGGCATACAAATTAGAATTTCAGGAAAAGTGTGAG